CCCCCCCCGGGAATCGAACCCGAGTCGTCCGCGTGCCAACCCCGTACTCTAACCATACAGCCGTCGTCGTCGGTAAATTTATTACATTTATTCAATTTATTATATATTTCTTATTGAATTTTAACTACAAGAACCGCGAGGTTATTGATTATCGCAAAAAAAATTTTCGACCCTAGTCTGGTCAGCAAATGCGACCCGGCGACTCTGGTCACCTCCGCGGGGATTCCCCGCCGTGTTAGTTAGGCTCTAGCGTTGCCGAATTCACTCTACACTACCCGGACGCGTTCAGCGTGGTTCCGGCAACGTCGCGTGATGGGCAATGTCGTTTAACAGGGGAAAAAATTATTCATCGGTTTGAAATAATTTGTTTTCTTTAGGAATTTCAAGAAATATAGTGTTCTAAAGACTACTATAATTCTTTAGAGCCTTCAATTCACAAAGTCAAATTTTTCTGAATTTTTTCGGTTGGCCTGTCAATTGTATTTTCGTATTTCGTGTTCAATAAATAAATAAATAAAGAAAGAAAATGAATAAATAAATTCAGAGATTTTTACTGCAAATAACAATTTTTTTCTCGTGCAATTATCTCGCTAATGAGTAGGTTCACAAATTTTCTATTAAAAAAAAATTTTGTATTCATAATGAATTTTTTTTTTCAATTTTTGCGCATGAGAAATTGAAGAAAAAAAATATTTAAAAAAATAATTGCCATTAATTTTTTTCCGCTAAAGGGCGGCGTTATTAACACTCCTGGGCTCCCACAACCTCCTACCCTTTTCTTTTGATAAATGACGTGCCCCAGATATGTTACTGCTGCGCCAAAGGGCAAAAAAATAGTGCGGAAAAAGGGCGAAAAAGAATAACTTCCATGACCTCGCTCTTTATGTAAACGCTCCACATGTATTTATCATCAGCTCAACGCGACAGTTGATAACTTTAGTCCTCACGTGATCCTCCGAAATGTCGCACAAAGGAACGTTTCATAGGTCGATTGACGGGAAGTCAATTCACCGAACAATCGTGACAGGATTATTAATCACCTTTGAAAATATTGG